GCCGCTCCCCCGGCCTCTCACAAAGGAGAATGGTTCAGTCCAGAGCATCACCCGGCACCTGATCCCTCAACAACTGGCGGGCGGGCAAGGGGCGGTGGATCGAGGAAGGGGATGAGTTACTGGAACCAATTCTAAGAGCCTTCGCCTTTGCAAAGACCCCTGGACCAGCACTGAGGAGCGGGCACGAACGGGGAGCCTACCTGAACCAGTCCCGGCACTTCCTTTCCAGCCAGCGTTTCAACTCACCCTTTCGGAGAACAAGGCGCCTTCCGGCGGAGCATGGCCAGCCCTCGCCTCAATCTAGCTTGCTAGTAGTCCATTCTCGCCCGGCTCCGCCCACCTACGCTTCCTCCGACCAATGGCAGGGCCGACGCCCGGCCTCTTTCCAGCAGGGTTGTGTGAGTCCCATCCCGGAAGTCTCTCGAGGGTGGGAGGTCCTAAAAGGCTCTGGAGTGTACGTAGGCAACCACAGATGTGCCTGATTGAAAATAAAATCTGGCGGTAGCTCCTGTCGGCAGGCTCAGTCCGCAGGCGTCCAGGCCTCTTGGCATTTCTCCTGCCCCCGCCGTTGGGGGCGCTCTGAACGAAAACATTTAGTTACCTGTTTCTGGGAAGCCATCTTGGGTCGGGCTGGTGCCCTGGGGCAGGAGGAGGGAGTGCGTGGAGAAAGTGGAGCTCTTTTCGGCCTTCTGTCGGGCTGCTAGGTCCCGCCCCAACTCCTTATATAATAAGAATGTCCCTTGATCACGATGGGGAGAAGCTGGGATGTTGCTGGATGTGGTGAGAGCAACCGCCACCCCTCTCATAGGAGTGAAGCGATCTTAGCAAATCAAAGCAGCAGAAATGAGTTCTTAGAAAGACAGTGGGTTTTCCCAGTTCCTGGAGTAATCCCTTATGGTCGCCTCACTCCCCGGGACATCAGAATAAGACCAACATAAGTGATATCTCTATCCTAGGTGCTTCTAATCCTTGTGCTTCACTTGCAAGTTTTCCAGTGTTCTGTACATTGGACTGGGAGTCCATTGGAAATGAGAAAACAGGTTTTAGGGAAGAACAACTTTTTTTTTTTTAAAGGACTAAATTCATCAGCAGACCCAAACTACCTGTGAATACAGACAGAGCAAATGATAGAAGTCTAAAGAGAGAAATTATATGTAAGGAAGAGAGCCATGAAGGGACAGCCTTAAAAACAGTCTGCAGAGAGTAATTTTCTAGTAACTGCATTTAAATAGGAAAGGATCCCTGACTGGTTTGGCTCAGTGGCTAGAGCGTCGGCCTGCGTACTGAAGGGTCCCAGGTTCGATTCCGGTCAAGGGCATGTACCTTGGTTGCGGGCACATCCCCAGTAGAGGGTGTGCGGGAGGCAGCTGATCGATGCTTCTCTCTCACCGATGTTTCTAACTCTCTATGCCTCTCCCTTCCTCTCTGGAAAATCAATAAAATATATTTAAAAAATAAATAAATAGGAAATGAAATAATTTTATTTACCTTTTTATTGAACTTATTGGGGTGACACTGCTTAACCAAATTATACAGGTTTCAGGTGCACAATTCCACAACACATAGGAAATAATTTAATGGCGGCTTAAATTCTCTTGTGGTCAATGAGATTTCCCTGTGTCCTGGTCTAAATCTCTCCCTGCTACCGGAAGTTTTTGTTTTTGAACTGAGGAGTGGAGCCTTTCCAGATCATGACTGGAGTTTCTAAATGAATGACATGTTTGCATGGTCACACATGGTAGGAGTTCAGAGGCCTTAAGGAGTCATATGAGTAATACTTTATCACAGTAGTGATAAGACTTGGCCACTACATTTCCCTGTATGTTGTACAGTCTGTTGACCAAATTCTCTCCTATCATTCTATCAAACTTGAGGTATTAGGATTTATCAGGACAATGTGTTTGTTTGTAACTGCATATGCAGATATTATCTTAATAATAGTTTCTAGAATGAGAACCTATTATCCTGCTTGATAGGAAATAAACTTGCTATCAAAGGAACCAGTTACAGGCATTATATTATAGAAAGGAGAAAGGATGTGCCTGGTCTAATTACTGCTATCTCCAATGATCTACAATAGTAAGATCTAGACTGCTATAAATAATATGGTTTCCAATGGTGCTGGCCTTCAAAACCAATCAACGCCCATATTATCGCATAGCTACCATTCTTCATCAGGAGTGGAAGATCCATTTTCATTTCTTTTTTAAATATATATTTGTATTGATTTCAGAGAGGAAGAGGGAGAGATAGAAACATCAATGATTGATCGGCTGCCTCCTGCATGCCCCCCACTGGGGATCGAGCCTGCAACTTGGGCATGTGTCCTTGACTGGAATTGACCCTGAGGCCCTTTAGTTCACAGGCTGATGCTCTATCCACTGAGCCAAACCGGCTAGGGATGGATGGGAGATCCATTTTCTATAATAATTCATAACCATTCCACTCAGAGCATCGGCAATGATCAACACAGGTCATGAATTTGTCCAGAAATGTTTGTTTCTCCTGTTTATCTTACAATTGGTGAAATACCCAAGTATAGAAGGTTATGAATGATTTGGATAACAGAACTGGATATAGGATTTTTGGATTAAAAAGATATGCTCCAAAACATCCAAATGGTACACTTTAATGGCTCTGAAAGCAGCCGCTCCAGGCAGAATGCTATCTTTGATCAATGCCTACAAACACTAAATATTTTTTGGTTGATAAAGAAAAACTGTACCAAAACAATAGTTATATTTACTTTAGTTTTGTCCCTCGTGTGAAGGTGCAGGCTAACCCCAAATTCAACAGCCTCAAATCCTTTTTGGAATGAGGTCAGATTTAAAAAAACAAAAGCATAATCAAAGCAATATCCCAAATGTCTCCCAAATTCCTGTGGTGCAGTGTTACCTAGGGGCAGAACCCTCTATGGCATGAATGTATCTCAAGAAGTACCTCCTCCAATATCTTTGATAGAATTTCCTAGGAGAGTATCTACTTATGCTTGAGATAAATCAGAAATGACACATGAAATATGAGCAGCTTGGATACATGCATATATTTAATAATGAAGCAGTTCACCACCAACAACAAAAACTTAGAAAAATTCATGAGACCTCAGTGCTGTGGAATAGTATGAGACATCAAGACAAAAAGATGCAGCAACTGACCCAGAAAGCTGAATGAAGAGGGAAGCAAAGGCAAATTTGGCTAGGATAGTATTACATGCTCTTGAAAAGGAGAATGGAAAAAAGAAAAGGAGAATGGTTGCTGAAATACCCACTTATTTGACTGCTTAGGAGCAGGCAACTTTACGCTGCATGGAAGGGAAGCAAAGAGCTAAGAAGGGAAAGAGAGGAGAGGGAGAAGAGCAATATAAAATCCAGGGTAAGCAGATGTAAAAGATTGAGATAGAGTTACAAGGAGATGACTCTAAGGCCTTTTGTTTCCTCTGAGCCTGTAAGTATGTCAGTTAAATTCAATGATCACATAAATAGCACTAGGCACTGTGAAGGAATGGTGGAGGGAGTGCTTCACAAAGTACAGGGATAACGTGGTCCCTGTCAAGGAGCTGCTTACATCCTATGTGGGGAGACAGATTCCACACACAAAACAACTATAAAACATATTTACAAAGCAACATAAATACAAATAAATATACATATGAATAAACAACATATGAAAGCTAAGGGGTACTGTGTCAATAATTGCTTAGAATCCCTAGGTCAGTCAAAGAAGACTTTCTGAAGGAAAAAGTTTTGGACTTTGAGTATATAGGGCATGTGCAAAGGCATAGAAGTGGAATATGTCATGTCCAGTAAGTAAGCAGAATAGCTTGATTAGAGTAAAAAGTCTCAATAGGTCTCATTAAGTATGATGAAATAGTAGGGGTCTATTTGGTGAAAGATACTGCAATGTTAGTTCTGGTCCCTAAAACAAACAAACAGGGAAAGATGTTTTCTTTAGGTATTAAGTGGCTACAGGTCCAGGAGCAATTCCACTGCTCTCAAAAGTTTTGTAGTTACTCTAAGACTAGCAATAAGATGGTAGAGAAGTATTCAGCATTCTTCAGCAGCTCAAGAACTCTTGCAGCCTTCTGCAAGAACTCTTATGAAGTGACAGGTGGAAAAACAATGAAATTCAAAGACTGAGGATCTATCATCCAAAAACTAGCCAGATCCCAGTAATCTCAAGTGCTCAAGCAGAATGTCCCAGACCCATGTTACTGATTCCTGGTGGGGAGCAGATTATGTATACTTCTAAAATAATTTATTTTTTAATTGCCATGACAACCAACTTTGATACTAACATTTTAGAAATAAAATTAGGGTATAAGAAGAGCCCTAATCTATAAGGAATGCTCACGTCCCCGAAGAAGGGACAGGTCAGTAAGGGCCCAAATTTTCCCCGGTCTTTAAGTGGAAAGGCAAAACATCACACCTTGAAAAGAGGCTTTTCTCAGCCAAAGTTATTAAGACCTCTGTAAACCTATTGATCTGAAGCTGTTCCAGGAAGGAGAAAAAAGAGTCCAGGCCAGACATTCAGCAGCAGCCAGAGTTAGACTCTATGTCACCAGAGTTCCGCTGGGAGGCGATGGGTGCCACTGATGTTGAAATACACTGTTGAGGACCGATCTTGATACCATTTGCCTGCAAAAGAAAAGAAGCAGTAGTGCCCACCTCAAATGCTCAAGTAAACGGGAGAAAGGAAGGGGATGAAAGGAGAAATCATTAATTACACTTTCTAGAAGCAGATATCACCTTGGCAAGTAGCCATGTGCCCTAACCAGACTGTTGTAGAACAACAATCTGTGACAGTGAAGATGAGATGGCCATCTGTGTGATAAATATTAGATGACTAGATGTGGCTAGTTATACTATTAGATGACTAGAAATGGCTTTTGTGCCCCTTTTTAAGATGACTGTTATACTTAAGATTCACAGCTATGTGCAGAATCAGGATGTGATTAGGAAAGAGTAGGAGCAGGCAAAAGAGTAGTAGTAGTATATAAGCATATAATTCTTTTATGTTTTGCCCCAAAACTTGCTTTATATAATAGCCCTGCTGAGCAATTAAGTATTACACCTCTCTCAAGCATTGAAATAGTGAAGAAATGAGGTTGAGAAGAAAACCTCTCATACTGTATAAGCTTTTTAGATCACCAACTAATAAAATCACTTGAAGCATTCTAGGGTCTCAGATTTGAGAAAAAACAAAACAAAAACAAAAACAGAAAATAATGACAGGTTTCCGTGCACCTACATAAAAAATAAGTATGAGTTGGCATAGCTTCAACTAGTATAATGTTAGTGGATGCTTACATTCTAAGGAGCTTACTGTAGCATTTAAGACAAAGCAAATTTAATTGTCAGCCCCACCCTTGCTCACCTCATTGTGGACATCAAATAAACCCTGCTGGATCTTCCTATATATTTCTTTGGCTGTGTTAATGAAGGCCTAAAGGAGACATAAATTATATTATTAGGCTCCAGATTAGGTAGAGAAATAAGGAAAAGAGAATACAAAGAGTATTCCTATTTGAATTTCTAAAGTGAATTAGAGCCCTAGCAGTTTGGCTCAGTGGATAGAGCATCGGCCTGTGGACTGAAGAGTCCTGGGTTCGATTCCGATCAAGGGCACCTAACTCAGTTGTAGGCTCCCAGCCCTGGTCAGGGGCATGCAGGAGGCAACCAATCAGTGTTTCTCCCTCTCCCTTCCACTCTCTCTAAAAATCAATGGAAAAAATATCCTCGGATGAGGATTAAAAAATAAATAAAGTGGATTAGGAACCATTAGAAGAACAGAGTAAAAATGTAGAAGGTCCCCCACAGACCCTGTAAAAGCCATTGTGAGTAGTTTTAAAAAGAAAAAAGGAATTATATGGTATTTTGGTACTGATCCAAGATGTTCCTAGGTTGGCAAACAGGCTCTCTTCTTAATTGATACAGTCAACACCAGGCTGAGGAATGACTACAGTAGAACCCATGAGACCCTCCAACTAAAGTAATTTACAAGTAACAGTGCTGACTAATCCAAGCTTACAATTAATGTTACCCAAAGCAAAAGTAAAACCTTAGAAATCAAGGTAAAGAAATGGGGTGATTCCCTTAAAGGAGACACTTTCACCACATAACATTCTTTCTTTACGCATGTCTCTGAATAAAAGGACAAAGATATGATGTAATCTCTGAAAAGCTTTCCCTACTTTTTCCCCAATAGTACCTCTTCAACATGGCAGGCTGTTTTGGCTGAAGTTTCCATGAATATAAGTCCATGCTCCCGAGCAAAGGCCTCCCCTTCTTCTTTCTTCACATCCCTGCGGGACTCTAAGTCACTACAAGAGATTAATTGGGGGAGAAAACGAAAATAAGATCCAAATGAAAGAAGAAGCTCTCGTTCTAAAAGAATCCCGTAACTGTTTCAATGGTCAGTTAACCCATAAGGAATACAGATCCTACGTGATGTTTATAGGGTTACTGATTTCTGTGGTATCTCCGAAAATATTCTTCAGATCCATGTCGGCTGCTGCATGGTTGAGGATATCTTACTCTATTACAGAGAATAGTGTTTATAAATGGTTAGACGAGCTCATAGTTGCTCGAGGCTTATGCCCTGTGTTTTTTTTCAGATGAGATCCAGTGAAAGCAAAGGAAAGAAGATGAATGGGAAATTCCAGTTGTCAGAAAGGAGAAAAGTCATAGATGTCCCATCCCATCGTAATGAGTGTCTTCCTCCTTCACTGGAAGCAATTCACAAGAAGAGAGAAAGCCAGGAATAAGAACACAGGTGCCTTAACTCTCACTAGTCTCATTATTAACATGTACAGTAGCAGCTTGCCATCAGGTAAATGAAGGATTCAGAAAAAATTATAAAATTGGGTAATATGGGGCAGGGGAATAGAGCAAAAGACTTAGAAAGGGAATGGAGAGTCACACGGAAAAACTTTAGGAAAGACAGAATAAAAGACTGTAAAATAAGGTAAGGATAGGCTGTTTTTTTACTTTTCAAATTAGAAATTTACATTTGGGAGGCTTTTAGTATTTCAATCATGAAAAAAAAAATTAAGGAGTAAGTCCATTAAAGAACAACAATCTACAAATGTATATTTATTGTTCATCAGCTGTATACAGACCAGGGAAGAACTATCCATCTAAATGTCAACACTCCGAAGCTGTTGTTCTAGTCCAGATGCTCCTCTAAGCTCCAGACCTGTTTGTCCGTTTGCCTGTTCTTCATTTCCACTCTGATGTGTAAAAGGAACTTCAAACTTACATCAAAATGGAACTTGATATTTTCCTCCCAACCTGCTTCTGCTGCAGGCTTCCACATTTCAGTAAATGGCACAAGGCAAAAACCAAGATACCTTTATTAACACCTTTCCCTCCTTCACTCCAAATACCCAATCCATCCCACAGTGAGGTGCTTCCAAAACATACCTTAAAATTCTTTCTCTTTCTCTCCATCATTATCACCCTACTCCAAGCCACCATTCTCTCTCACCCAGAGTACTGCAACTGGGATCCCACTTCAACCCTTGCTCCTCTCCAGAGAGACCTTTTAAAATCTAATAAAGACACTTCTCTTGCCCTAACCAGTTTGGCTCAGTGGATAGAGCGTCGGCCTGCGGACTGAATGGTCCCAGGTTCGATTCCAGTCAAGGGCATGTACCTTGGTTGCGGGCCTATCCCCAGTGGGGGGTGTGCAGGAGGCAGCTGATCGATGTTTCTCTCTCATTGATGTTTCTAACTCTCTATCCCTCTCCCTTCCTCTCTGTAAAAAAAATCAATAAAATATATTAAAAAAAAAGACACTTCTCTACTTAAATGCTTCCCATTGTGTTTATAATAAAATCAAAACTCCTTACTAAAGCTTGTAAATGCTACTAGATCTGGTCCGTGAACCTCATCTGATACCATTCCTCCTTGATTCAGTCCAACCACACCAGATTTCTTTCAATACCATAATTTGCACAGCTTCTTCCAGTTGAGGCTTTCACACACTTTGTTCTCCCTCTCTAATATCTGGGGTGC